CTCTCTAGCTCCATCCACATCATTGCAAATGGCAAGACTTCATTTTTTATGGCTGAGTAATATGCCATTGTGTGTGTATGTATAGATATAGATGATACAGATATAGATATAGATATAGATATAGATATAGATATAGATATAGATGCCACATCTTCTTTATCCATTCATCAGTCAATGGACATTTGGGCTCTTTCCATAGTTTAGCTATAGTTGGTAATGCTGCAATAAACATCAGGGTGCACATATCCCTTCAAATCAGCATTTTTGTATCTTTTGGGTAAATAGTGTAGTGGCTGGATCATAGGGTAGTTCTATTTTTAACTTTTCAAGGAAACTCCATACTGTTTTCCACAGTGGCTGCACCACTTTGCATTTCTACCAACAGTGCAAGAGGGTTCCCCTTTCTCCACATCCTCACCAACACCTGTTGTTTCCTGTGTTGTTCATTTTAGCCATTCTGACTAAATGATTTAGTATTTAGACATATTTGTATTTCCTTGATAGTGGGGATGTTGAGCATCTTTTCATGTGTCTGTTAGCCATCTGGATATCTTCTTTGGAAAACTGTCTGTTCGTGTCCTTTTTTACCCATTTCTTAACTATATTATTTGGTTTTTGGGTGTTGATTTTGATAAGTTCTTTATAGATTTTGGATACTAACCCTTTATTAGATATGTCATTTGCAAATATCTTCTCCCATACTGAAAGCTGTCTTTTAGTTTTGTTGATGGTTTCCTTTGCTGTGCAGAAGCTTTTTTATCTTGATGAAGTACCAATAGTTTATTTTTACATTTGTGTCCCTTGCCTCAGGCGACCTATCTAATAAGAAGTTGCTATGTCTGAAGTCAAAGAGGTTACTGCCTGTGTTCTCCAATAGGATTTTGATGGTTTCCTGTCTCACATTTACATCTTTCATCCATTTTCAATTTATTTTTATGTGTGGTGTAAGAAAGTGGCCCAGTTTCATTCTTTTGCATGTTGCTGTCTAGTTTTCTCAACACCATTTGTTGAAGAGACTGTCTTGTTCCCATTGGCTTTTTCCCATTCTTTCCTGCTTTGTTGAAGTTTAGTTGACCTATCATGGTCAACTTCTGGGTTTCTATTCTATTCTATTGATCTATGTGTCTATTTTTGTGCCAGTACCATACTGTTTTGGTTACTACAGCTTGAATATAATATAGCTTGAAGTCCAGAATTTTTGCTGTCTCCAGCTTTGCTTTGCTTTGCTTTTTCAAGATTGCTTTGGCTATTCGGGGTCTTTTGTGGTTCCAAATAAATTTTAGGATTCTTTGTTCTAGCTCTGTGAAAACTTCTGGTGGTATTTTGATAAGGATTGCATTAAATGTGTAGCTTGCTTTGGGTATCATAGACATTTTAACAATATTTGTTCTTCCAATCCATGAGCATGGATTGTTTTTCCATTTCTTTGTGTCATCTTCAATTTCTTTCATCAGTGTTTTATAGTTTTCAGAGTATATATATTTTACATCTTTGATTAGGTTTATTCCCAGGTATCTTATGGCTTTTGGTGCAATTCCTTAATCAATTCCTTAATTTCTCTTTCTGCTGTTCATTATTGGTGTTTAGAAATGGAACAGAATTCTGTACATATGTTTTGTATCCTGAAACTTTAGTGAATTCATGTATCAGTTCTAGTAATTTTTTGGTGAGTCTTTTGGGTCTTCTATATAGACTATCATGTCATCTGCAAATAGTGTAAGTTTGACTTCTTTCTTGCTGATTTACATGCCTTTTTACTTCTTTTTGTTGTCTGATTGCTAAGGCTAGGACTTCTAGTACTATGTTAAATAGCAGTGGTGAGAGTAGACATCCTTGTCTTGTTCCTGACCATAGAGGAAAAGCTCTGTCTTTCCCCATTAACGATGAATGGGCTGTGGGTTTTATATATGTGGCCTTTATTCTGTTGAGGTATGTTCCCTCTACATCTACTTATTGAAGGTTTTTATCATGAATAATGTTGTATTTTGTCAAATGCTTTTTCTGCATCTATTGAGAGGATCATATGGTTCTTATCCTTTCTTTTATTAATGTAGTATATCATGTTGATTGATTTGCCAATGTTAAACCACCCTTGCAGCCCAGGAGTAAATCCCTCTTCACCGTGGTGAATGATTCTTTTAATGTAGTGTTGAATTTGATTCACTAGCATTTTGTTGACAATTTAGGTAGGTATCCATATTCATCAGGGATATTGGCCTGTAGTTCTCTTTATTTTTTTAACATTTATTTATTTTTGAGAGAGACAGAGCACAAGCACAGGAGGGGCATAGAGAAAGGGAGACACAGAATCCAAAGCAGTCTCCAGGCTCTGAACTGTCAGCACAGAACCTGATGAGGGGCCCAAACCCACGAACTGCAGGATCATGACTTGAGCCGAAGTTGGACACTTAACTGACTGAGCCACTTGGGTAGCCCTGTAGTTCTCTTTTTTAGTGGAGCCTTTATCTGGTTTTGGAATCAGGGTAATGCTGGCCTCATACAAAAGGTTTGGAAGTTTTCCTTCAATTTCTATTTTTTTGAGCAGTTTGAGAAGAATATATATTAACTCTTTTTTAAATGTTTGGTAGAATTCCTCCTATGGAGCCAGCTGGCCATGGACTTTGTTTATTGGGAGATTTTTGATTATTGATTCAATTTCTTTGCTGGTTATTGGTCTATTCAAGTTTTCTATTTCTTCCTGTGTCAGTTTTGGTAGTTTATATGTTTCTAGGAATTTATTGATTTCTTCCAGATTGTCCAATTTGTTGGCATATAGTTTTCATAATATTCTCTTATTATTTCTGTGGTGTTGGTTGTTACTTCTCCTGTCTTACTTGTGATTTTGTTTATTTGGGTGCTTTCTCTTTTTTTCTTGATAAGTTTGGTTAGGGGTGTATCAATTTTATTAATTTTTTTCAAAGAACCAGTTCCTGGTTTCATTGATCTGTTTGGAAATTGAAAATACAATCAACGTGACTGACCTAGTTACAAACACAAACAAATAATAGTGCAGATTACCATGAGCTTGATACTTCAGCCATTCTCCCACAAGTCATATCACATAACTAGTTAAAAGGACTGTAGAAACAGACTTAGATGTGAATCCCAATTATGTTACTTACTGCTATATGATGCTGGGAAAATTACTTAAAACTCTCAGATTTTTCATCTGTGAGATAATACTACTACCTGCAACTCACTCGTTTATTCACCCATATCAAGCACCTACTATAAGCTAAGCACTATTCTAGCATCTAAGATACATAGACAAAAATCTCTGCCCTTGGGGAGATTCTTCGCCATGTTTTATTGATATGATAAGACACAGATACAGGGGCGCCTGGGTGGCGCAGTCGGTTAAGCGTCCGACTTCAGCCAGGTCACGATCTCGCGGTCCGTGAGTTTGAGCCCCGCGTCGGGCTCTGGGCCGATGGCTCAGAGCCTGGAGCCTGTTTCCGAATCTGTGTCTCCCTCTCTCTCTGCCCCTCCCCCGTTCATGCTCTGTCTCTCTCTGTCCCAAAAATAAATAAACGTTGAAAAAA